TATGTATGTATGTATGTATGTATGTATGTATGTATGTATGTATGTGGATCTTTGGTTATTCGGGTTTTCTCCCGCGTAAGATTCAAAGTATCTAGGCAACGTTTCGATGAAGTTAAAGAGAACCTCAGAAAACAAATATATATGTATATGTATATATGTATATATGTATATATGTATATATGTATATATGTATATATGTATATATACATATACATATACATATATATATATATTCACAATAGGAGGGCCTGATACTTAGAAAGATGCCTAGAAACTCAGCAGCATGAATTTTCTGTATTTTAATGCAGTAAATATGTATGTTTTTGTTTTTACTCTTTAAAGTGTTATTTTAGTTTTCATTGGATTTTTTTTCTGCTAAGAAATTACTATGTATGCTTATCAGAGAGAAAATATCAGAACACCTTGGCAACATGTGTAGACTTTCATTCCAGAATTTTCCAGCCAGTATGGAAGTTGAAGTCTATATATCTTGAAGTGGCCAAGCTTGAGAAACCTTGTTGTACATGACTTTGCTGTTACTTTCAATGTTTTCCATATTGTTGTCCATATTGTTGTACATGACTTTGCTGTTACTTTCAATGTTTTCCATATTGGTTGTTCCCACTAGGATTTTGGATCATGCAGGTGAAGTGAGCAACATTTTGCTCAAGCATTCCCCTGTAGGTTATTGATGGAAGTGGATCTGTGGATGCTATGCCATTCAAGGAATTCTAACTTGGGATGTCTGGGAAGATTCACTGGAAATGCAGTCCAGTTACCCAATTCTGCCATGTTTCTGCATTAATTATTCGACTTCTCAGCTGGTAGCCACACATGCTGGCAGGCTTACTAGTACTCCAGGGCAGTTTGTCAACAATATTGCCCTGATGCCTTAAGCCCTTTTCTGTTTCTGCAGTAGTTATGCTTACTACAAGGCTACATAACCTTGGCCTTCTTGGAGTCACTATCCTTCTGCAAGCCATTTCTGTCAAAAGTAGGTACAGACACAGGAGCCCATTGAAAACCAGGGCTTTCTGTGGCCTGCTTTTTTAAAGACTGAAGTCTTTGTGCCTTTGAAATTAGCACTCACGGTCAAAAAAAAAAAAAAAAAAAGCAAAAACAAGGCACAGATGGAAAACAATCTGTGCAAAAGAAATGGGGTGGAGGTTGGACCCATTATGTAAAGAGAAAGGGTTAGAAAAAGGCTTGAATATTGTTGCCATATATACAACTTACTCACAAAATGCAGACATTGCTAGATTTCTTTATGAGTTCCTAACTTTTCTTCAATAAAGATTTCTTTTCAGAACTTGTCTTTGTCAGTTTCAGTCCTACCTGTTGGGTGAGGTTTGAAATTTAATCCTTTTCTTAATTCTTCAGTCTTCCTGGTGACTGAAAAAACTTCTTTGTTGTCAGTAGAAGGTGGGGCAGAATATAATTTAGTCTATTTCCTCAGTAAAAGAGAAGGATTTGCAAATTGATCCTGATACTTATTTCCGTGCCTCTCTCTTTCTTCCTTTCTTTTGTAAAAGGAAAGAACAAAACCTCAACAGTCTCAGGAAACTGAAATGAGAATTATTCTCAGTGTATGTAATGCTGCAGTCTTAAACTGATTTCCCTTTAAAAAGGTTGTCCAACACAGACAGGGATGCTTAGATTTGTGTAGGTCTATATACTGCCATCATATTATTTCATACTGAGTACTTTATTAAATATCTCCTTTATAGTGTCTGAAAAAGTATTTTAAAAAATGAAGAGTGTTTCTACTTCCTACCTCCATATCTATTGGGTCTAAATTGCTATAATAGTATGCCGTTTGTTAGAGATGCATTAGTGGTTTTCTACTATGAATATTATATTTTTTTCTTACAGCAATTGAAGCTCCCAAACCTATATTCCTGAGAATTATGTCAAGTACAGTTAAATTAGATGAACAAAAGCTAAGATTTAAAAAATCAGTAGTCAAAAACAATGATTGCTATACTAACTGATACATAGCTGCTTATTAACCCTTTTTTGCATCATGAAATAACATCTAAGCTCACCTGAAAGAAAATCCCTTTAAAAGCTATCGGTATATTTACACAATATTTCAAAGCATACTGTAAGTGTTTTAGGCTACAGTGACTAAGCACAAACCAAATAAATCATCCCTGTGTGAACCAGGCTATCACATTATACCTTAATAGTGTTTGTTTTGATAGAACATATTAGTAAATTTGGTTGGTAATTTTTTTTATTTATACCAACTAAAGAAATTTGTGTTGGGTAACACAGTCTGTAGCACTTAATTCTAAGTAGGCACATATATTGCTGATAAACAACCCATTGAACATAGAGGCTTACTGTAGAGGAAACATGCACAAATTAATAGTCTGAATCACTCAACAAGGAGTCCAAAATGAATAAAAGAAATATTTAT